GGTTTTTTAGACCATGGTCTAGGATTCCAATTTGGACATTTTTGAGAAAAGAGACCGATTGCTATGGTCTAACATTCCGAATCCTAGACCCCCCCCCTGGTATATACATATATGGTGTATATATTGTATAATAATAGAAAATATTTTAAAGTTTAAAAGTTTCATACTCTTGTTAGAATAACAAACATTGTATTTAAATATAATTTAATACATGACTAAAACATGCAAAAGTAAACTTTTTGTAAATTATTGTGAAATGTGCATTTTGTTTAGAATATACAATTAATAACTAAATAGAGTCTTTAAATATACTTAATGATATAACTTTAAATTAAACAAAATATTGTTTATTTAAAAATATTAAGCTATTGAGTAGTATAATATTAGATATTTATATTAGTCTATTATTACCTAATACTGAAAATAGTAAAAAGTAATATTAACAGTGTGATGGTAATAATCATTTTAATATTATCTGAGAAAGCCATGCCAAAAGTGTATCATGAAAGATCTTAATGTTATTTACATGTAAAGATTAAAGTTTTTCCTGGGGCATTACTTTACTAATTATAAGTATAATAAAAATGAATACATAAAAATATACACTATACTTTCAATTATTAGTTTTAAAATGAATAGTTAATGTATTGATACTAACAAATACTAAAATAAACTAAAATAAAATTAATTACTCAAAAACTACTAAATAACTACTAAAAATAATACTAAAATACATTTTATAATCAATTGACTATATTAAGGTTAAGAATATATTGGTAAATCATGTTCACTAACTATTACTATCGTATCAAACAATAAATACAAGCAAGCACTTTCGTTTAAAAATTAATAAAACTAAAATCCTAAAAAATCCTATTAAATTCATTATTTACTAAAATTAAATTTTTAATTTAATAATTATTTTGTAAATAACATATCATAATTTATATTATTATATAATTATTATTACTTATATAATTGTAAAATTTCTAAAGTCTAAAATTAGTGTTACTACTTTTAATAAAATAGTACTTAACAGATCTTTATAGTAAAACATTGGGATTAAATTTACGTAGATATGAAACCTTGATGAATCTGGGACTATAATACACATTATCAGAGACAAAACACAATTGGTCTTTTTGGTATATTTCACAAATGTACAATAGATTAGGAGAAAGTTATAATAAAATACATTATTTAAGTGCTTTTAGGATTTAGATTACTATCATGGCCATTTAGATTGGAAACAATATTTTGAAATATGTCTCAAAAGTCAATGATAACTTTTCTAATAATGTATATTTATAATAAAGTAAAAGTATCAATCTAAAATCACATTTATTTATTACAAAAAATAGAGTATTGACATTACATATAGAGTATAAAATTGGCAATAAAGTGTTATTGGTAATTTTGTTTGTTTGTTATTTATGATTAATTAATTTGCTAGTGTACCAGTTAATTTCCGTTTCAAGTTGTTTATCAAAACTTATACCCTGATCCATATTATCGTACTTTAGGCACATCTAAACAAGTACAAATATTACGATCTGATACTAACAATGAGATAAATAAATACAGCATAATGTTTTATGTATTATTATACTAAATATAGCTAGCTGATTTTAATCTTATTTTGCACTTCATCTCACAATAAAGTCACGAATCAATTACATGTCCCATACATCCCATTCACACTCTATTAAGTAAGATTAGACAACTGTTAGGTCATCCATTACCGGGATCCTATTTGCTAACAGTGTGATCCAGTTATGATTTCTTTTGTAAACAACCAGGGTATAAATAGTGCGCAATGTTTGGTGAAACTTCATCAGTCAATCAGTCGTTCAGTTTAGTTCGCAAACTGTATAATAGATTGTAAATCATTGCAAAGTTTTTTGATTTAAACTATTCATTAATTTCTTATACAAAATGAAAGTTTTGATAGTTTTAGCCGTTTTTGGGCTCATTTATTGTAAGTCACTTTTACACTAACTTATTCATTCACTATATTACAATTAGTTGCTTATGATCTAGCTAATTATTAATTACGTACCATTTACGATTGCTTACTAATTATGCCGCTTATTATGTAACTAATTAGCTTATTGATTAGCTTGTTAAATAACCAAGTAATTATATACTTAGTTAATTAACTAGCTACATATTTAACAAGCTATTTGACTTTAGCTCTCTCTCTCTCTCTCTCTCTCTCTCTCTCTCATTATGACACCCGATAATAATAACACCCATTGCTTTACCATTAGATACCAGTGCCGTACCGCTGACCAAACGTGACATCAAAGAGGATCTCCTAAAACGGGCCACTGATCTGGAAAAGGCCGGTCAGGACTTCAGTAAGAAGCTCAGGGATGAGGGAAAGAAAGTGGAGGCAGACGTAGTGGACAAGGAGGT